AAAAAAAAAGAAGTTTACAAAAGTAGGAGATCAGAATCTGAGGTTAACTAAGAAACATGCCACCCTCTTCACCCAAAATCACACACCACCACCTCTTACACCGAATTCCTGGAGAGATGCGAAAGGTGCAAGGATTCAAAACCTTTCACTGTAAGGTGCACAGAGAGGTTTGAAACCCTTTCATTTTGAACCACAGAAGACAGGGACCTCAGCTGACTTCAGGAATATTGCATTTTAAAAACATCAGCATTAATAATTACTACTCAGAAGGCTTAATAAGCGCAAAGCTCTATACTAGACACTTTGTGTAAATAATGTCACTTATACCTTAGAACCATAAGGAGTAAGTTTTATCAGCCCCCATTTTACAGATGAGAAAACTGAGGTGCATTGAGGTTTAATAAACTGCCAGAGTCCTCAAAGCCAAGAAAACGCAGAGCCACCATTAGAACCCACATCTCTCAGGGGCGCCTGGGTGGCTCAGTCGATTAAGTACATGACTCCAGCTCGGGTCATGATCTCATGGTTCTTGAGTTTGAGCCTCATATGGGGATCTCCACTGTCAGCGTGGGGCCCGCTTTGGATCCCCTGTCTTCTTTCTGCCCCTCCTCCATCTCACACAGGCTCTCTGTCTCTCCTTCTCTCTCAAAAATAAGGAAACATTAAAAACAAAAGAAAGAACCGTGTCTCTCAGACTCCAGACACCCTGTATAACCAAGTACTAAAGCACACAGCATCTTTACATTGGTCGATTCGTTCATTCATTCGGTCAGCCAGCCAGTAAATTTACACTGAGTTACATCTCTATCATGTACAGGAGTTGGGAATGTGGGAATGTAGCAGTGAACCAAATCTCTGCTTCCACCGAGTAAAAGCTTCGAATGAAAGTGAGAGAAGAAACAGACCCGTTAGGTGCTATAAACACACACACCCAGCACATATTCACGGTTTCCCTGCTGTCATTGCCAAGGGGGTGGGCAGCCGTCCTTTAGTTACTTCTTCCTCTTTAACTTGATTTACTGGAATAAAAATATGCATGTGTAAAAGTGAAGGGAACATGCAAAGTGTTTTCCTCCCTCAAGCTATCTTCCTCCAGAAAGGGTGACTCAGTGCCCTAAATCCTTTGTTTTCGGTGCTTCACGCAAGATTTCAGGCACAGTGGCCTGGCAGGAGCTGCTTCTCTGAAGTTTCACTCTTGGCCCAGATCTCATTCACAGAGATGGAAGTTAGCCACATTTTCGTTTTCCTTCTTCTGCAGCTAGCTCTGAGCGGATCCTCGAGGGGTCTTGGCTGACGTCTCCACCAGTCCACCCCCATCTCCCACCAACTCCCCTAGAAGAGCGGTTTCTTCATGTCTTCCAACTAACGAGTTTTCCAACTTATCAGGCAGAATTTTTGTTTGTTGAAGGGGCAAGTCCTGACTTGCAGAGTCTTCTCTCTGCAGGGCTGGGGTAAAACAAAATTGGAGAGATAATGAGAGTTGCTGAAATCACTGAACAGCTGAGACTCTCTGGGGGGCTGGGGAAATCCTTCTCATTCTGAGTGGTCTGTTTTATTACCTTCCTATCAGTTAAGCTGGCTTCTCTTAAAATGACTCAGCTCCCAGGTTGTTCAGAGAACTATTCTTTCCTCATTCAAAAGAGCTCAGTACTGCTTAGCCTGCCTGCTATTCGGTGAGAGAGCAGAGTTTTCTCAACTGATTACACAAAAAGACTGCGTAAGAAGATAGTTATCTTTGACTTACCCTCGGAAGAAGAATTTATTTTAAAATAAATCCCTTAGAATGTGTATCCTTATCACTAGTACTGTACTGCCTCCACAGAGAACAAATTAGCACAGATTTTTTTATTGCCTGGTCCTAATTACTCATCACTTACTTAATGGCTCTCTGTGGGTCTGTAGTCCTCAGTAAGATTCTAGGTGCCTCTGCTGAGAGTTATGTTGCTTATATCCCTGTGTTTGTGGTGCCCGGGGACTGTGTGAGGCATTCAGGCTGCTCCATGTTTCTCGATTACCCTGTAGTCCCAGCTAAAAGCGCATTAACCCCAAAGCAGTAAGAAAAAGGAATATTTTTCTTTGCTGCATCTGAAAATATTTTTTATAAACAGTTTGCTCATGTCTGTCTAGAGCAGGATAGAGAACAGATGTAGGCAGTGGACATGTCTTATCTGGAAGGAAAACAGGGCTTAAGATGATAAATATCGTGGGATATGATAAAATCTGGAGGCCCCCTTTCTGGGCCATCATCAAATGTTTAAAAATCTAAATATATGTGATCTTACCAGAGAGATTTATATTCCGTTGAAAACCAAGTTATTGGGGTGCCCAGGTGGCTCAGTCGGCTAAGTGTCTGACTTTGGCTCAGGTCATGATCTTGTGGTTCATGTGTTCAACACCTGCATCAGGCTCTGTGCTGTGCTGAGAGCTCAGAGCCTGGAACCTGCTCTGGATTCTGTATCTCCCGCTCTTTGTGCCCCTCCCCCACTCACACTCTGTCTCTGTCTCTCTCTCTCTCTCTCTCAAAAATAAATAAACATTTAAAAAAAAGAAAGAAAGAAAACCAAGTTATTTTGAGCTGAGTAACTGAGAACTTTTTTTTTTTTTAAAGATTTTGTTTTTATGTAATCTCTATACCCAATGTGGGGCCTGAACTCACAACCCTGAGATCAAGAGTCTCACGCTCCACTGACTGAGCCAGCCAGGTGCCCCCAGAACTCTTAAATTATAAGGGTGCAGAATAAATTTTTGGCAGATCTGTGGATATCTAAGTTTCTCAGGGACAGTGATTTGCAGAAGTGACAGGACAGAAGAGAAATTATTTTATGATGTCATATAGGAAATAGGGCCAGCTCATCTAGGTGCTCAATACATGTTTTATGTACTAAGTAAAAACTTCTATTGCGCTTGGAATGCTTTATAACTATTTACTCATGTTCATTTCTCTTCTTGCTTTGAAACCCAATGTGCTAATTAGCAGTGAGAATGGGGTAAAACGAGAAATACCCGGTGGCCCTGGGTACCTAAGACCCATCCCATCTGTTTGGGTTGACACACGCCCCTAAAAGTTAACTTCAGCCTCGGGCTCCGTGCAGTCACAAGTGTCCTCTGTGTCAGGCATAACTATTGCTATACTCCTCTGTCTGCAATGACCCTGCTGATCCCTTCCTGTGACTTGTGTGCCCTCCTGTCCTCCAGTGACTCAGGCTGAACTGGATGGAACCACTTATGTTTGTTGCTGTTTCAACTGTTTTGGTTTTTGTTTGTTTTAATTTTTTTTAATGTTTGTTTATTTTTGAGAGAGAGAGACAGATAAAGCGTAAGTGGGGGAGGGGCAGAGAGCGAGCCACACACACACAGAATCCGCAGCAGGCTCCATGTTCTGAGCTGTCAGCACAGAGCCCGATATGGGGCTCGAATTCGTGGACTTTGAAATCATGACCTGAGCGGAAGTCGGACCCTCAACCAACAGAGTCACCCAGGCACCTCTCAAAATAAATACTCTGTCTCTCTCTCAAAAATAAACATTAACATTACAAAAATTAAATAGTTTATTGTTTTGATTGAGAGAGAGTTAGGGAGGGGCAGAGAGAAAGGGAGAGGTAGAATCCCAAGCAGGCTCTATGCTGTCAGCATGGAGCCTGACACCAGGCTCAAACTCACAAACCCCCAAATCATGGCCTGAGCTGAAACCAAAAAGTCAGATGCTTAACCAACTGAGCCATCCAGGTGCCCCACAACTGTGTTTGTTTTATTTTTAAAAAAATGACAATTTCATGTGATTTGACCCAATGTTGTCCAGGTTTTAAAGAAGAGTGGTTAAGTTACCACCCCATGCTTGGCGTGGTTAAGTAATTGGCCCTAAAGCCTCAAAGTAATCAATAGCAGTGTGTTAGGATTCAAAACCCAGTTTGCCTCCTTTTGCATTTCTTAGTATGCTCCTTTTAACCAAATAATAAGAGCTTGGGCCCAAGAACCAGCTGCTTGGGTTGGACTATCAGTTCATCCACTTACTGGACAGTGACTTTGACATATTTTCCTCTCCATGCATCAGTTTTCTCTTCTGTGCAACGGGCTTCACAATAATGCAGTTACTGTCCGATTTGTAGGTTGCCTTGAGGACTGAAGGAGAAGTTCTAAGAGTTTAGATGCTGCCTGGCACTTAGTAAGCACTCTATAAATGCGAGCTATTATCTTCATGTTTCCTTTAATACTTTTTTTCCTGCTTGAGTAAATCTAACCAACACACACACACACACACACACACACACACCTTTGTGTGATAATACAATGCCGCAGAACCAAGAAACTCAATAGCAAAAACCTTCTTACGTCAAGTAGGTAGAAGTTGAACGGTGAACCTCAGGGCTGGGAGCTTCTCTCTCAATTTCCCTACATCACTGCGGCTGAAACTGCAGTTTCATATGAACCCTACTAGATGCTTCCCCCTTTTTCTTTATTTTGTTTTTAAGCGGGTCGGGGCTGTCAAGATTTATCATTCTTGATACTGAGCCAGAAATCCTCCCGATAAGGGGGATGCAGCCCGAGGAGAGGAGGCCCGAGGCAATTCTTGTAAACAGTCTCTAAATCAATCCAGGCGGGGGCGCGGGAAATTCCACCTAGTTAAAAGTCTAGGAAGCCAGTCAAGTTCACCCCAGGGGGGCTCCAGTGAGGAAATCCCCATCTCCCCTGTCCCAGAAACCGCTTCAGGTTAAAATCGCTGTCTGAAGACAGCGCGGGCGTATTCGGGTTCATCTCAGGGCCGCTCTTTTATCTCAAGAAGCACAGCCTGTCCATGTCCGACCGGGGCTGTCTAGAAGCCACACACTGCCTCCCCCCTCCCTCCCGGGTCACCCGGGCCAGGGCCAGAGGGTCCCGTCGGGTGGCGCGGCCTAAGGTGGCAGGCAAGGGGCGTGGCCTGGGCTGGCGCCCCCCGCGGCCCCTTTAAGGGCGGGCCGCAGCCCACGTGCTCCATGACGTCAGAGCAGGAAGTGTTTGAGGAAGTCGCGCTGGGCTGGCAGGTTTAAGATTCCCGCATTTTAATGTCTTCGGGGAGGTGCCAGAGCCCCCGGTTTTGCCACCCCAGCCCCCTCCTCCCCCGCCCCTGGGAGCGGCTCCCCTGCCCCGCGTCCCTGACGACAGGTGAGTCCCTCGGGCGGCCGCGGGGACCCCTGGTGCCACCTGCAGACCCTGCGTCTCCTCTGCAACGGGCGAGCTGGCACCTCCCTCTTCACTTGAGGCTGCTGAAGAAACTTCTATCGAGTTTATAAGTTGGGGTTTTCCGGTCGTAGAAGCCATTTTTTGTGCGGGTTGGACTTAGGAGGCCCGGAGCAGCCCGGCCTGGGTGGTTCCAGGTGGCCGCTTCGAGGTGGGTGGCTTTGGGAGAGAGCCGTGATTCATTTGGACTAAGTGAAGACAACACGTGACCGTGGGGAAACAGCAACAGATTCTGCCCCAGCCACCTTGGGCAGAATGCGCGCGGGGCGGGGCGCCCCTTGCTGGAGTCCCGGCTGGGATGCCCTTTCGAGGTCAGGGGGTGCGGAGTATCATCTCTTTCCAGTGACTTTTCCTCCCTGCCTCCTTCTACACCAGCCGAGGTGGGGGGAGGGAGAAGAGTGAGAAAGACAAAAGTTTGCCACCAAAACCCCAAAATAAGCCAGACAACCTGGTTTATTTGCAAAATGAAAACCAGCTCAGTTTTTCTTCTCTCGTGTTGAAGGGCGAGGGTTTCTCTTACCTTCTCCATCTCCTTGAGTTCCATTTTTTTCTTAACCGTAATCTTTTGTCCCCCACACCAAATTGCGTTACAGAGTTAGCACGGCCTCAGTATGAGCTGGTCACCTTCTCTGCCAACCCAGACCTGTGGGGCCTGGGAGATGAAAGAACGACTTGGGACAGGGGGATTTGGAAACGTCATTCGATGGCACAATCAGGTAGGGACTCTGCAGCTGGCAAGAACCAAGGGGCGGCAGCGGTAGGAGCTGGGGAAGACAGGCCCCGCTCAAATTGCCTCTGCCCCGCACTGTGCTGGGTGGGAGGGTGGGGCTCACCTTTGGCCACGAGCTTCTTGAGTGAGAAAGGGGAACTGGGAAGGGGCTTCAGGGCTGCCGAGCTGACTCTAAGTGGTCTCCAAGCTTTACTGACTATGCCTCTCAAATAAATGGTAAACATATTTTAAGTTTTCAGCTCCAATTATATATATTTTATTTTATTATTATTGTTTTTTGATATTTGTTTTCGAGAGAGAAAGAGATAGCACAAGCACGGGAGGGGCAGAGAGAGAGGGAGACACAGAATCCCAAGCAGGCTCTGGACTCTGAGCTGTCAGCACAGAGCTGGAGGCAGGGCTTGAACTCCTTAAGTGGGATGCTTAACCCACTGAGCCACCCAGGCGCCCCTCAGAGATATATATATATTTCAGTTAGAATTTGTGCTGCCATTATGCTATCATGTACTGATATGTTGCATACTAATATATTACATGTTCTAAAACATACAAAAATAGGAAAAAAAGGATGAGCATAGTGAAATATACTGAAGTGTTGAAAAAAATTCATTTAAAAACATTTTAAATGCGTGCCAGTTATGATGTCTTCCCAGTATTGTATGCAGTGCTGCACAGCACACAACACACAGATCATATGAAAGAATTTTTGTTAGGGATAGTGGAGGGAAATCCATATTTCAAGTCATTTTTATAATTTTGAATTATTTGGACTAACTTCCTTTTAGATCTGATTCAGTCCTTATTGTTTTTATCCCTTATGTGTCTGAAATGAGTTGCTCACAGAAGTGTTTAGCTCTTCCCTCTTCCTGTTGGCTTGTGCTGATGTTACATGTACGGAAGGAAGCTCTCTACAGGAATTTCTTCAGCCACTTGTCCATTTTATGCGAGTCATTTTATTGAAATCGGGTAGTGTAATCCATAATGTACCTTAGCGGGGGCACATGTGTCTGCCACGTGTCTCCCTAGGCCCCTGTCCACCACAGCCCAAATGGAATGCCCATTTTCCTCAGGACACTTAGTGTGCCATGCGTGCGTGACATGTATGTGACCTTCTGAAAAGTTATCTGAGGACGGTGCTATAAAGTTAATATCAGAGAAGCTTAATTTCTTTTTTATGTTTTTGGATTCCAGTCCTGGGTAACTCTTGGTGCACATATACCCAATTTAGAGACCACTGCTCTAGGGAACCGTCGGTTACCAGAAGGCTAAAATTAGCTTCCTGACCCCAAAGCCAGACCCCTGAAGTCCTTGAAGGAGGGCACCTGCTTTTTGCTCAGGGGCTACAGAGCACTTTTTTGGACTGAGGGAATGGCAAATTGTGTACCACTTCCCAGGAGCCGGCTGCAGCAGCCAGTGGGCAGGGGATGGCGGCGGGAGGTGGGGAGGGGGCTCAAGGCTACTGGCCAGCCATGTCAGAGCACCATTCCAGATAGCCACTGTCCTTCATCAGTAGTTGGAAGACATTCTAGACCCTGCCTGAGTCTCGTCAGCTCTGAGTGGATGAAATGATCCGTGGAGGAATGTGGGAGTCAGAGCTGGAGGGCAGAGTACAGTTCTATAGATGGTGATTCTCACATTCAACTAGGAAACCAGAATTCCAGCAAACCCTATGGCTGAGGGGGCCTTAGAAACACAACTGGCTTGGGGCGCCTGAGTGGCTCAGTCTGGTTAAGCATCCAACTTCCACTCAGGTCATGATCTCATTGTTCATGAGTTAAAGCCCCGCGTTGGGTTCTGTGCTGACAGCTCAGAGCCCGGGGCCTGCTTTGGATTTTGTGTCTTCCTCTGCCCCTCCCCCGCTCGTACTCTATCTCTCTTTCTCAAAAATAAATTTAAAAAAATTTAAACACAACTGGCTCAAATATATTCTGGTCTGAGTATAGCTACGGACTTAGCATTAAGACTCAAAAGACTTAGCAAAAGACTCAGATTGGTTTATGGCCCTGCATATACCTGGGCTGCTCTAGACAGGCCAAGGCTTTTGGATTCTTGACAACAGAAAACATCTTGCAGCAGCTGAACTAGAGACATTTGGTTTCCCTCAAAAGGGGTTCTGTCCAAATGCATCCTGTGTCTGTCATCTCTAGCTCAAAATGGCCTCCATCTGCTCTGTGAGTTTGGAAAGCTGTGGTCAGATGGGATTTGTTCCTGGCTTATTAGAAATGGGCCCGAAAATGTGTAAATGTTTGTGTATGTGTATGGCTTAGTCTTCTAAAATTACTACTTTCAAGTTCCTTTCCCTGTTCAAAAACCTTAATTTCTTTTTCATTTTTATTTTATTTAATTTTTAATTGAGGTAGAGTTGGCATACATTGTTATATTAGTTTTAGGTGTATAACAAGTGATTTGATGATTATGTGCATTATACCGTGCTCATCATGATAAATATAGTTACCATCTGTCACCAAACAATGTTATTGCAGTATTATTGACTCCATAGATTTAAAGTGCTGTACTTTTCATCCCCAGGACTTATTTATTGTACAACTGAAAGTTTGTATCTCTTAATCCCCTACACCTATTTCACCTGTCCCCCAACTCCCTCCCCTCTGGCAACCACCACTTCTCAGTATTTATGAGTCTGTTTCTCCTTTTTTTGTTTGTTCATTCGTTTTGGTTAGTTTCCACATGAGGTGAAGTCATACGATATTTCTTTCTTCTAACTTATTTCACATAACATGATGCCCTTTACATCCATCCGTGTTGTCATGAATGGCAAGATTTCATTCTTTTTTATGGCTGAGGAATATTCTTTATCCATTCATCTATTGGCGGAAATTCGGGTTGTTTCCCTGGCTTGACTGTTGTAAATAATGCTGCAGTAAACATAGGGGTGCATCTGTTAGTGTTTTTGTTTCCTTTGATTAAATACATAGCAGTAAAATTACTGGATCATATAGTATTTCCATTTTTAAGGTTTTTTTCTTAATTTTTTAACATTTATTTATTTTTGAGAGACAGAGTAAGAGAGCGTGAGCGGTGGAGGGGCAGAGAGAGAAGACACAGAATCCAAAACAGACTCCAGGCTCTGAGCAAGCATTCAGCACAGAGCCTGACACAGGGCTCGAACCCACAAACCATGAGATCATGACCTGCGCCCAAGTTGGACGCTCAACCCACTGAGCCACTCAGGCATCCCTCCAATTTTTAAGTTTTTGAGGGACCTCCCTACTGTTTCCCATAGTGGCTGCACCAATTTACATTCCTATCAGCAGTACATGAGGGTTCCCTTTTTCCACATCTTTGCCAGCGCCTGTTATTTCTTGTCTTTTTGGTACTAGCCATTCTGACAGATGTGAGGTGATATCTCATTGTGGTTTTGATTTGCATTTCCCTGATGATGAGTTATGCTGAGCATCTTCTCATGCGTCTGCGGGCCATTTGTATGTCTTCTTTGGAAAAATTTTTTTCCAGTCCTCTGCCCATTTTTTAACGGGATCATTAGGCTTTTTGATGTTGAGTTGTGTAAGTTCTTTTTACAATTTGGGTATTAACCCCTTACTGAGTGTATCATTGGCAAGTATCTTGTCCCTAGGTTGCCTTTTCATTTTGTTGATGGTTGTTCTTTTTTAAATTGTTTTTATTGTTCTCTGTTTTTTATCTTTTATTATAATTTTTAAATTTTTACATTTTTAATGTTTATTTTTGAGAGAGAGAGGGGGAAAGGGGCAGAGAAAGAGGGAGACACAGAGTCTGAAGCAGGTTCCAGGCTCTGAGCTGTCAGCACAGAGCCCGATGCGGGGCTCGAACCCACGAACCGTGAGTCCATGACGCTTAATCAGCTGAGCCATCGGGGCGCCCCAGGTTCTTTGTTTTTTAAAAGCCGAAGCCAAACTCCTCAGTCTGCTGTTCGAAGACTCTTCACAGCCTTACCCCGCCTTTCTCGCATCACCTCCTCTTCTTGGCTCCCAACAAGTTGGTTGGCCGAGCACTCTCTGGGACAGGCGTCTGTCTCCTGGGCAGCTGTACGTAATTCCGCCCTTTCCTCCAGAGTCAGCTCCAGACCACCTCCTCCACAAACCTGCCCCAGACCCATTCATTCAGTGGAAATTAGTTCTCCCCTTGAATGCCTTCAGCTCCACTCATTTTGTATGTTTCATACACTGCCTTTTTGTCGGTGTGTAGGAGTGTGTCTTGTCAAGGCTCTAAGTTCCTGGTCAGCCAGGGCCCTGTCTGGCTGTGGCTTTCTTTCAATCCCCCCATAGCAATTGTCTTTATGTTATACGTGTTTTTGGGTGCATCAAATCATTCATTTCTGTAAAGATCTTTTTGGAAAAGGGAAAGAGCCATTGATCAATAATTATAAATGTAGTCTCCCAACTATTGTAAGTGTGACACAGGAGAGGGACCCAGAACAGTGGTACCTTCCACCAGAGAGTGGGATCCGTCAGCAGGGTGGGCGGGGTAGGCTTCTTCGAGGAAGTGGCGCTTAAGCAGAGACCTGAGTTACTGGTAGAAGTTAGCCGGGCTGAGAAAGTTGGGGGGAGGGACCCAGGCAGAAGGAGCAGCCTACTCAGAGAACCTGTGAATGGCCCCTGGGGGCAGATCTAGGCTAGCAGGTGGGACTGAGAGCCCCACATGAAGAAGGGAGGAGGAGGGGAGCCAGGGGCAAGGCAGGCTGGGGTGTAGAAGGTGACAATGAGATGAGTTTTTGTTTTTATCTGAAGGGCAACAGGAAGCTGTTGGAGGGGCCCAGGCAGTGGTATGCTGGGACATTGGCTCTCTGAGAAAAACTTCTCCGAGAAAAACACACCGATTCGCCCCGATTCGTAGTGTTTACCAGTTTCCACAGGGCAACTACCCTCACTGGGGCTTGTTTTAAGCCACTGACAATTTAATAAGCAGGTCTCACTGAATTCCTGAATATTTAACAATCCGTCTCAGGAGAGCTGGTACCAGGACACCACTGGCACTGGCCTGTCGCGTGAGGACACTAGCTAGGGGGCTTTTGGAGGGGTCCAGGTGAGAGCTTGGAGCAGGCTGATGATGGTGGAGGTGGAGAGAAGTGGGCAGCTCCGAGAACTCTGTTAGGGGTAAAATCGGCAGGACTTAGCGGTGGAGTAGCAGGTGAGGGCCGAAGGAGCCGGAGGAGTCAGCTTTCACAAATGCTCAGGGGGCCTGGCTCCTGGCCACCCTCCTGGGTAGATCCTCGGGTGGGGAAATCCTTAGGGCTGCTATGGATGCTTAGTGGCTCTTTAGTTAATGAGTGCGAGTGGTGCGTTCTCTGGTGGCTGCCCCTGTGTTTGGAGCGTCTTGAAGAAGCCAGCTGGGTAGGGGGGTTTTGACATTTAACTCCAGTCTGGTACAGTGATGACACTTTGGAGCCATGTACACTTCCTCATACTCTATATACTTTATCTTGTCTACAAAAGAGAGACTTTTTTAGTTTTTCACAAGAGAAATTGCATGAAAGAGTCTGTTGGTGTCCGCACTGACCTATGTGATGCTTAATACTCAGTCCCATCATTTATCAAGAACCTACTCTTTGGCAGCATTGGGGTAGGCATTTTACATAGTTTATCTCCAGTCTGCACAGTAACCCTAAAAGGAAGAACTGTTGCCTTTTTTCTTTTAAGTTTATTTATTTAAGTAATCTCTACATCCGATGTGGGGCTCGAACTCATGACACTGAGATCAAGAGTTGCACGCTCCTCTGACTGAGCCAGCCAGGCGCCCCAAGAACTGTTGTCGTTATTACTGTTTATCATTGATGAAACTGAAGCACAAAGAGCTTAGGTCATTCACCTAAAGAGCCTAAGCTAGTAAGTGAAGGCGCTGAATCTGAACCTACATCTTTTAAATTCTGAGCCTCCTGCCTTCCCTGCTGTGGCTTGTGGCTTTGCCATGGTGGGTGATCCAAGGCTAGGGAAACCCCTAGAACATTGTCAATTCTCTACAGTCAGTCTAAACCATTTTGAAGTACTATGGGGGACAACATGCATAAAACTTTCTTGTTTAACAGAGAACTCTAAGATGAATTATTTCTTAGTGAGGAAGGGCAGTGTATCAACTATTCCTATCCCCGCTTCCCTGAGTTTGTGGATTTTGTTACCAAGCATGGACCTTGGCAGTCCTAGCTGTGTCTACACTCCCTTGAATCCTCAACCCAGGGGTCAGCACAAGCCATTTATCAGTAGTCAAGAGAGGCTGATATTTTCAGTAAGGCCTGTGTTAGATACAGAGGAAGAAGAAAAGATGACCTGAGTGACCTGAGCCCATAGCACTTCTGGGAATAAAGGGGAAAAACCGCGTGACTCCCCGTCACACACACCTGGGTTCCAGTCCTGGCTCTGTTACTTGCTGGCTCCATGACTTTGGACCACAACTTCCCCTGTGGATTTTTGAGGATGCTAAGTTGTTGAGCTCCTCGGCCCTCAGCATGTCTGGGCTTGAAATAGGGCAGCTGCTCTTTGGAAGCATCTGGGAATGTTCCAGGGTGCCTTGTAAACATACTGTCTGTGCACTTTGCTGGGAAAGAGGCTGGGAAGTGCTCCCTGGGGTCCCAAAGGATGCCTGTAAAGACGATAGGTGGTAATGTATGCACTGGCTGTTACAAAGGTATAAAAGGTACAGTGTTATTACCACTTATATGAAGTAGTACTGCCTTTTACTTGTCTCCTCACTGGACAAGATTAAACTCACTTCAGCTTATGTGTGTTTTTGTTTTCTAAGTTTATCTTTTTTTGAGAGAGAGAGAGTGGGGGAGGGGCAGAGAGAGGGGGGACAGAGGATTGGAAGCTGGCTCCACGCTGACAGCAGACAGCCCAACTCCGGGCTCAAACCCATGAACAGCGAGATCATGACCCCAGCTGAAGTTGGATGCTCAACTGACTGAGCCACCCAAGCTCCCCTATGTGTGTGTTTTGAAGTCTTGAAGACTTCAGTCAGTTCATTAAGAATTTATTGAGCATTGACCTCAGCTCCATCAGGGGAAAAAAGAAATGACCTTGTCTTCAGCGTGCTTGTGCTCTTATGGAGGAGGTAAAATGAGTAACTAGCAGTATACTGAGTAGGTCTAGATATAAGCACCAAGTTGTGTAGAAATAATGGCTGCTATTTATTGAGAGTGTCCTGTGCCAGTTGTGCTCAATGCTTTATTGATATGACCTCTTGAACGCTCAGGGGAAAGGGAAGGCTTCTGAGGAAATGGAACTTGAGCAGAATCTTGGAAGGAGATAGACTGGAAATAGTCTGAAGAGAAGACAAATCAAAAAGGTAGAGTAACATCTCCATGGGACCAGAGAAAGGAAATCATACTACTTAATTTACTTAAGGCTCACTCTGTATCAGACACTCCATCTTGTTTTGAATGAGGGATAGAGTCCTCTTCTTATGGATAAAGACCTAGAAGCTTAAGTAATGGGCTCTGGGTCCCACATTTACCAGGTGAAGGATGAGGGAGTTACACTTTGACTTATTTCACTCCTCAAGCCCCTGTGGGTGACTTTGGAGGCCACTATGTCCATTGAGTGTTTACCCCAAAGGGAGTGGGTTGGACTCAGGACCTTCTCAGCATAGATGGGTCAGCATGTTGAGTCAGGGCTAAAGCTGAAGCCAGACCTTTTGACTCTCAGACCTGGGTTCTGTCCCTAGGATATCTTTAGGCCTAGCTTTGTGCCTCCTTTCTGAAGTATTCATCTTGGAAGGCAGGACCTGAGAAGGAATGAGTTGGTTATTACCGATTACCCCCTTTCACCACAGTGGCCTGTTGGATGGGTGCCATGGTAACAAGAAGCACCTTTCTGAGCTAAGGGTTTGAATGTACCCCTTGGCTTCCCGTAAGTTCCCCTAGCCATGAGACGAAGGCTAACTTTGGGAAGCTGGGCCAGCTGCTGTATCGACTGGCCTTCAGCTCACTTGTGCTGTCATACTTTTCGGTAGCTCTCAGCTGTCTGAGGAGGTGCTCCTCTCCCCTTCACTTTGTCCTACACCCCATTTCGACACAAGTTTTATGTTTTCACATACACAAGATTCACAGATTTGAGGGACCTTCATAAGAAACCACATTCCGTGCTCGCTTCAGCAGCATATATACTAAAATGGGAATGATACAGAGAAGATTAGCATGGCCCCTGCATGAGAATGACACGCAGATTCATGAAGCGTTCCATATTAAAAAAAAAAAAAAAAAAAGAAAAAAAGGAAAGAAACCACATTCAACACGGATAGCACTGTTGGCGCCATTCTCCATTTTCTCAGACTACAAACCAATTTTCAGTTTTGCCCTGCATGAGGAATCCACTTACCAGAAGTTGGATGCTGAGATGGTTTGGGCCAAGTCTAGGTTTCTACAGAACTGAGCTTAAGACTCTAGGAAGTTCCAGTCCAAATAAAGAAAGTCATCCACTGCTCTTTGAGTTTCATTGCTGGTGAAGAACAAACTCCCCAGGGTTTCACAACTAGTGTTTTTTAGTCTGTTTCTAAACTGTTGAGTTGAATTTTGCTTTCTGGAGCAGGTATGTTTTTAGCATCAGAAAGTCAGTCTGTTTGGTTTTCTGTTTCAAATGAAGTACTACTCATGGAAAACTAGAATGTTTTAGAATACTGTCTAGAGGGCCACTGTATAAGAAAGTTTAAGTGTGTCTGTCTCTGCGTGGGACAGTCCCACGCCTAGGAAGTTAGGATTTCCCCTGCAACCGTTGGACTAAGCTGAGCTGTCCACAGATAGAAGCTGCACTCTGCTTGCTATGCCCAGTTACTCCCCAGTGTGTTCCGTATTCATATTGCCCAGTTCATGCTCTGGGTTGAATTAGGCTGTTGAAGCCAATGCCAAATCTTCATTCAACCTTTAATATCAGTCTTCAATATCAAAATATATTTCTAGACTCTTGGTTGAGCCAGTGAAAGTTGTGTGTTAGTTTGTGTTGAACAGAAGACCACAGTTGTCTACAATTATCCAGTATATAGATAGATTACCCGAAATGTTTTCTAAGTCATTTAAGAAATCTGCCTTTGGGGTTTGAGTTATTTATCAGTTTTATGAAGGAAGCACATACTGTTTGTGGTAGGCAGTAAAAGCCCCCCACCCCCCTGGAAGATGTCTATATCCTAATCCCCTGCACTTGTGCATATGGTAGGAAGAGGAATGAAGGCTGCTGAGGGGCTGACCTGAGATGTGAAAATTGTCTAGGTCAGGGCTCAAAAGTGGAAGAGAGAGGCAGGAGAGTCAGTGTCAAAGTGATGCAACATGACAGAGTCACCTTGTCCTTGCTAGCTTTGAGGATGGAGGGAGGGACCAGGAGCCAAGGAATGTAGGCAGCTTCTAGAAGCTAGAAAGGTCAAGGAAATTTATTCTCCTCTAAAGCTTCTAGAACCGAACACAACCCTGATGACATCTTGCTTTCAGCCCATTGAGATGTGTTTCAGACTTCTGACCTCCAGAATCATAAGGAAATAATTTCATGTCGTTTTAAGCCACTAAGTTCGTGGCAATTTGTTAATAGTAGCAGTAAAAAAAACTAACATGCCGGGGGTGCCTGGGTGGCTCAGTCGGTTAAGTGTCTGACTTCAGCTCAGGTCATGATCTCACCATTCCTGAGTTTGAGCCTTGTGTCAGGCTCTGTACTGACAGCTCAAAGGCTGGAGCCTACTTCGGATTCTGTGCCTCCCTCTCTCTCTGCCCCTCCCCTGCTCACACTCTGCCTCTGTCTCTCTCTCAAAAATAAATAAACATTAAAATATTGAAAAAAAAACTAACATGCTGTTCTGTGTATTGAAGTTAATATAGGTGCAGATCTTTAAATATATTTACTTATTTATTTATTTTTAATATAATTTATTGTCAGATTGGTTAACATACATTGTGTGAAGTGTACTCTTGGATTTTGGGGTATGTTCCCGTGGTTCATTGCTTACATACAACACCCAGTGCTCATCCCAACAAGTCCCCTCCTCCATGCCCATCACCCCATTTTCCCCTCTCCCCCACCCCCATCCACCCTCAGTTTGTTCTGTGTATTCAAGAGTCTCTTGTGGTTTGCCTCCCTCCCTCTCTGTTTGTATCTATTTTCCCCCCATCCCTTCTCCCATGGTCTGTTGTTAAGATTCTCCAGATCCACTAATGAGTGAAAACATATGATATCTGCCCTTCTCTTTCACTTAGCATAATACTTCTGGTTCAATCCACATTGCTGCAATGGCAGCATTTCATTCTTTCTCGTTGCCAAGTAGTATTCCATTATATATATAAACCATATCTTCTTGATCCATTCATCAGTTGATGGACATTTAGGCTCTTTCCATGATTTGGCTATCGTTGAAAGTGCTGCTATGAACATTGGGGTCCATGTGCCCCTATGCATCAGCACTCGTGTATCCCTTGGATAAATTCCTAGTAGTGCTTTTGCTGGGTCATAGGGTAGTTCTATTTTTAACTTTTTGAGGAACCTTCAAACTGCTTTCCAGAGTGGCTGCAATGCAAGAGAGTTCCCACCAGCAGTGCAAGAGAGTTCCCGTTTCTCCACATCCTTGCCAGCATCTGTAGTTTCCTGATTTGTTCATTTTAGCCACTTTGACCGGTGTGAGCTTGTATCTCAGTGTGGTTTTGATTTGTCTTTCCCTGATCATGAGTGATGTTGAGCATCTTTTCATGTGTCTGTTGCCATCTGGATGTCATGTTTGGAAAGTGTCTATTCATGTCTTCTGCTGTTTCTTCACTGGATTATTTATTTTTCAGGTGTTGAGTTTGGTGAGTTCTTTGTAGATTTTGGATACTAACCCTTTATCAGATATGTCATTTGCAAATATCTTTTCCCATTCTGTCAGTTGCCTTTTAGTTTTTTTGATTGTTTCCTTTGTACTGCAGAAGCTTTTTATCTTGATGAGGTCCCAATAGCAAAATTCATTTTTGCTTTTAATTCCCTTGCCTTTGGAGATGTGTTGAGCAAGAAATTGCTGCAGCTGAGGTCAAAGAGGTTGTTGTCTGCTTTCTCCTTTAGGGTTTTGATGGTTTCCTGTCTCACATTTAGGTCTTTCATCCATTTTGAGCTTTTACATGTGTATGGTGTAAGAAAGTGGTCTAGTTTCATTCTTCTGCATGTTGCTGCCCAGTTCTCCCAGCACCATTTGCTAAAGAAACTGTATTTTTTCCATTGGATACTCTTTCCTGCCTTGTCAAAGATTAGTTGGCCATACATTTGTGGGTCCAATTCTGGGTTCTCTATTTGATTCCATTGGTCTATGTGTCTGTTTTTGTGCCAATACCATACCATCTTGAAGATTACAGCTTGTAGTAGAGGCTAAAGTCTGGAATTGTGATGCCACCCGCTTTGGTTTTCTTCTTCAATATTACTTTGGCTATTCAGGGTCTTTTGTGGTTCCATACAAATTTTAGGATTGTTTGTTCTAGCTTCGAGAAAAATGCCGGTGCAATTTTGATTGGGATTGCATTGAATGTGTAAATTTCTTTGAGTAGTATTGACATTTTAACAGTATTTATTCTTCCAATCCATGAGCATTGAATGTTTTTCCATTTCTTGTGTCTTCTTCAATTTCCTTGATAAGCTTTCTATAGTATTCAGCATACAGATCTTTTACATCTTTGGTTAGGTTTATTGATAGGTATTTTATGGTTCTTGGTGCAATTGTAAATGGCATCAGGTTCTTTATTTCTCTTTCTGTTGCTTCATTACTGGTGTATAAAAAAGCAAGTGATTTCTGTACATTAATTTTGTATCCTGTGACTTTGCTGAATTCACGGATCAGTTCTAGCTGTCTTTTGGGTTTTCCATGTAGAGTATCATGCTGTCTCTGAAAAGTGAAAGTTTGACTTCTTCTTTGCCAATTTTGATGTCTTTTATTTCATTTTGTTTTCTGATTGTTGAGGCTAGGACTTCCAACACTATGTTAAACAACAGTGATGAGAGTGGACATCCCTGTCGTGTTCCTGATCTTAGGGGGAAAGCTCTCAGTTTTTCCCCATTGAGGATGACATTAGCTGTGGACTTTTTATAAATTGTTTTTATGATGTTTAAGTATGTTCTTTCTATATCCCAACTTTCTTGAGGGTTTTTATTAAGAAAGGTTGCTGTATTTTGTCAAGTGCTTTTTCTGCGTCTCTTGACAGGGTCGTATGGTTCTTATCCTTTCTTTTATTAATGTGATGTATCACATTGGTTTATGAATATTGAACCAGCCCTGCATCCCAGGAATAAATCCCACTTGATCGTGGTGAATAAGTCTTTTTATATGCTGTTAAATTCAATTTGCTAGTATCTTGTTGAGAATTTTCGCATCCATATTCATCAGGGATACTGACCTGTAGTTCTCCTTTTTGTTGGGTCTCTGGTTTGGGAATCAAAGTAATGCTGGCTTCATAGAATGAGTCTGGAAGTGTTCCTTCCATTTCTATTTTTGGGACCAGCTTGAGAAGGATAGGTATTAACTCTGCTTTAAATGTCTGGTAGAATTCCCCAGGGAAGCCATCTGGTCCAGGACTCTTATTTGTTGGGAGAGTTTTGATAACTGATTCAATTTTGTCACTAGTTATGGGTCTGTTCAGATTTTCTATGTCTTCCTGTTTGAGTTTTGGTAGTGTGTGGGTATCTAGGAATTTGTCCATTTCTTCCAGGTTGTCCAGTTTGTTGGCATATAATTTTTCATAGTATTCTCTGATAATTGCTTGTATTTCTGAGGGATTGGTTGTGATAAATCCATTTTCATTCACGATTTTATCTATTTGGGTCCTCTCTCTTTTCTTTTGGAGAAGTCTGGATAGAGGTTTATCAATTTTGATTATTTTTTTCAAAAAACCCACTCTTAGTTTCATTGATCTGTTCTACTGTTTTATTTTTTATTTTATATTCTTTCTGCTCCAGTCTTAACTATTTCTCTTCTTCTCTTGGCTTTGGAGTTTCTTTGTTGTTCTGCTTCTAGTTCCTTTAGGGGTGCTGTTAGATTTTGTATTTGGGATTTTTCTTGTTTCTTGAGATAGGCCTGGATTGCAGTGTATTTTCCTCTTAGGACTGCCTTTGCTGCATCCCAAAGGGTTTGGATTGTTGTGTTTTCATTTTCATTTGTTTCCATATATTTTTTAATTTCTAATTTAATTGCCTGGTTGACCCATTCATTCTTTAGTAGGACGTTCTTTATTTTATTTTATTTTTTTAATGTTTAATTT